TACACCTTTAGGTTTTGCCACAACACTCCCCTTTTAGAACTGAGCAGACCCCAATGAAAAAGCTGTTTATCTGTAAATTTGAGCAAATTATTTTAAAATATCAATCTTATAGTCATTTACATTCCATTTTAATGTTTTATTTATTATTTTTCATTCCATCCACAGCACATTGGTGGGTGTTGCTAAAAGGGGATTTAGTGTTTCAGGTGAGTTATTTGTGTTTACAGGTGGTGTGGGCTTCGATATTAACTGTGGCGTTCGGCTGCTGAGGACAAATCTGGACGAGGGAGATGTGCAGCCAGTGAAGGAGCAGCTGGCACAGTCCATGTTCGATCACATTCCTGTGGGGGTTGGGTCTAAAGGAGTCATCCCCATGGGCGCCAAGTACTCAAAATTAAACTCTTCTGTTTGGATTTTTATATGCATACAGAGTTAAAGCTACTTCTAATGCATGTGTTCAGGGACCTGGAAGAAGCCCTGGAGATGGGAGTGGACTGGTCCCTGAGAGAAGGCTACGCCTGGGCCGAGGATAAGGAGCACTGTGAAGAGTACGGCCGAATGCTGCAGGCCGATCCCAACAAGGTCTCATCCAAAGCCAAGAAGAGAGGCCTGCCACAGGTACAGAGCCTTCATTAGAACCAGACGTCCAGCCTCTACACACCAATCCAAAGTGAGATTCACACAAAGCTTCAGAGGTTTCTTAGCAGGGTGCTCTTCATCTACCTTGACGAAATATTGATTCAACGACACGTCCTGCCTGAAGATGGCAGAGAGAAGAAATCAAAGAACACATAGAAATATCATGGATGTCGTGCAGTAAATAGCCATATATTGATGGCTGATGGACAAAAATGTGGAGAACAGAGAGGATTTGTGGAGCGCTGTACAAACTGGGATGAGCGCCATAGAGCAGCTCTTTTACATCCTAGTTTACATCCTGGACATCAAAAGATCCAGCTTTCATTGGTCGTTCTCCCTGTGAAAAACAGATGTGATATGTAGAAAGTGAATGAGAGGATGGATAGAGCTAGCGTTGGGATCGAAGAGAGATAAAATGGAAAAGCAGCGAGAGAGAGATACGAGAAAAATTAGCAAAAGGAGCGAGGGAGAGCAAGCGGGTCAGAGCAAGAGTAAATGAATAGGAATACAAGAGAAATGGTGAAATTGAAAAAAGAAGATCGGAGGGATAAAGAGACCGAAAAAGTGGAAGCAATTGAACAAGACTTGGCATTCCTTACCCAGTAGCCCTTGCAGACTAGAAAGGTGGAGTTTAAAATCACGATTGTTTTCTTGGAAGGCTCAAACCAGCATGTTGTATTTAGATGTTTGCTCTACAAGCTTAACATAGCGGTTTGTTCTGCCGGTGCAGCTGGGAACTCTGGGTGCAGGAAATCACTATGCAGAGATTCAGGTGGTGGACGAGATCTACAATGACTACGCAGCCAAGAAGATGGGCATCGACCATAAAGGACAGGTGTGCGTAATGATCCACAGCGGCAGCAGAGGTCTCGGGCATCAGGTGGCTACAGGTGAGTACCAGCAGAGTCGCCCGCCAGAGAGGAAAACACGGTAGATTTACTTTCCTTCACCCTCTCCAGATGCTCTGGTGGCGATGGAGAAGGCCATGAAGCGCGATCAGATCACGGTGAACGACCGACAGCTGGCGTGCGCTCGCATCACCTCTCCAGAGGGTCAGGACTATCTGAAGGGCATGGCAGCCGCGGGAAACTACGCCTGGGTCAACCGCTCCTCCATGACCTTCCTCACACGACAGGTTTGCGTTGAGCTTTAAAGCGACACATGAAACATGTTTTTCATCGAACATGTGCCCCTCCCTCAGGCCTTCTCGAAGGTCTTCAACACCACCCCAGACGACCTGGACATGCACGTGATCTACGACGTCTCTCACAATATCGCTAAAGTAGAGGAGCACATGCTGGAGGGCAAGCAGCGGAGGCTTCTGGTGCACAGGAAGGGCTCGACGCGGGCCTTCCCTCCTCACCACCCGCTCATCCCCGTCGATTACCAGGTGAGCACTGAGCAGACACCAGTTCAAACCATTTTGGCATACTGGTAGTAAGTATCTCAGCTGCCTCTTCTTCTAGCTCACTGGTCAGCCTGTTCTGATCGGAGGAACCATGGGAACTTGCAGTTATGTGCTGACGGGCACTGAGCAGGGCATGACCGAGACCTTCGGTACCACATGCCACGGCGCTGTGAGTTATTATCTTTAGGATTATTGCCTCATCTGAAGCTTTTCCGCTCGAGCTGACGCCTCTGTGAACTCTGCAGGGGCGAGCTCTGTCCAGAGCCAAATCCAGACGCAACCTGGACTTCCAGGATGTTCTGGATAAACTGGCAGATTTGGGCATCGCCATCAGAGTGGCGTCACCTAAACTGGTGATGGAGGAGGTAAGATTTCTGCATAATTTACAAAGACATTTTCTTAAAATGTTTTTGTTTTTTACAAGAAGAGTATGTAAGATCTTGGCAATGGGTAAAAAATCCTGGATTAATTTCATTTGAGGTAGAAAAAGAGGGTTATGCAAAAAAAAAAAAACCCTAAATTTTAACAATTTGATTTGATGAAAATGACTTCAATGGTCGACAAAAAAACCCGTCAGTAAAGGAGATTTCATTTTTAATCTGAGAATGTTTTTAAAACCTGTCGATCAGCATCTAAATATTCTGTGAAATGGCAACTATTTAAGATGCAGCAGTTGTTCATTTTACACAAAACTTGTTAAACTTATTCATAATAAGTGAATGTGCAGAAAACAAGTTAAAAAATACTATAGATTAGATGCAGGGGAAAATTCATCTATGGACCGTGAAAAGTGAGATCCTCTAGCTGCACTATAAAAGAAAATGAAATAAAAAAATGCGGATTTTAAAAATTGATCACATGTAAAAATGTATTTGTACAACAGTAAATCTGTTTTGCTGTTCAGTTATGTTTACTGCAAATTATGCATGTTTTTCTTTTTTGTCTTTGTGCGACTCAAAAATGAAATTTTGTTCAACTTAATATATACTAGGATATTCCTGTATCTAGAAGGATATGAAGAATAAAAGCAATAGGCATTTCTTTAGCTAGTTCTAATGTAATTCATTTTCTTGAGTATAGGATAAAAGTTGGATTCATTCATTTAAAATAATTAAAAAAATGGCACCACAGCAGATAAAATGTAAAACTATGCGCTGGTAGACTTGCTACTATGACAGGCAAAAGGGTTTAAAGTTCTAAAAAAAAAAAAGATATTTTCAAAAATAAGTTTACTATTTTGTAACATTAAAACAATACAGATATATTTTCAAAGAAAATGTGTTTAGTTAATATTAAGTTAACGAATTGATCTCAATTTGGATAAACCTGTTTCATGACACAAAGCATGCTTTGATCGCTTCAAACTGTTTCTCCCAGGCCCCTGAGTCCTATAAGAACGTTACAGATGTGGTAAACACCTGCCATGACGTCGGCATCAGTAAAAAGGCCATCAAGCTCAGACCCATCGCCGTCATCAAAGGATAAAGGCCTGGAGTTTACTACATTTTGCACTTAATGGTGGAGCTGAAGTGTCGGGTGAAGGAAGCACAAGTTTGGTGATGGTTTATGTCGAGTTTGGAAAGGCCTGAAGTCGAGCTGAGATTAGTAAACACTTTTATTGGTCATGATGACAAATATTCACCAAAGGGAGACAAGGGCATGTGGCAGCATATCAAAAATAAATCACCTGTACACAAAGATATTTCACCTAGCGGTCTCTTCTTATTTGGCATGGACACAGTGGGTTTGAATTGATCACTTCTGGAGCAAATGCTCATTAGATTCTTGATTCTGTCAGTGTGTGACACAGCTGAGTGGACCCAAACCTGTGAGAGCAGCTTCTAACGGCTGTCCTTCAGCATTCACACATGAGAGCCTTGTCTAAAAATCCAAAGGATTGTCAGCATTTATGACGGAAAACAAGTTTCTGTACAAAACCATTGCTAGCAGGGTAAAGAAACCCCTCTGGGATCCAACCTCAGTGTTTTTCACAGTTATTTCAATCATACACAGATTGCTTACATCCAACAGGCTTAAAGGGCAGTCAATGACAGTAAGACTGTGATGGAGAGCATCTACATTTAGTGTTTGATTGGTACAGCGTTGATGGGAATGCCATAAACAAAAAACGCAAAGATACAGAAAACCAAAAGTCTGCTTATCGTTTAAACGCTTGCACACATCTCAAGAGCACTTCCATTTGAGAACCGCTTCACCTCAAAGTAAAACCTCATCTTTGAAAAAAAAAAAAAAAAAAACAAGACAATTAAATAAATCTAATCAGGCCCTTCTTTAAATGAAAAACGAATTACATCCGTTCATTGTAGCAACCATCTGAAGTCTGTAACAATTATTGTGTTTCATGCCCACCCACTCTCATAAATCCCATCCGCAACTCTCCATGGGCTTGTCCAATCATTGATCTCGTCTCCACGGAGCGCTCAACTCAGATTGGGCCAGGGTCCTTGAGGAGATGCTAGGCGACCGCTGATCCCCACCGGACTCCGATCGGGTGTGGTTAAGCTTCTGTAAGTGCAAGAGTAGCTCCTATGCTAAGCTCAGTCTGTACGGTGCTCAGGAAGTGGCTTCAACTGCGGAAGAGGTTCCAGTTTTAAAGTTTGGCCTGCTGGAAAAAAACCTGCACAGACACACGGAAGCAACTTTCACAAACCATTCAGACATCTTTTCAAGGGGAAAAAAATTATGCATTTTCTTCCCAGACACTCAAGGACACAAGACAATAAATACATAATGGAATTATATTTTTCTCAATGTCAGTCAATATTCAGTTAAGCTATAAAAGCACAGACATTTAACAACAAAATACTAATTTTGCACAATATAAAACCATGTTTATCATTGCTTTCTAGCATCTAAAAATCCTCAACATGCAACTTCTCATGATTTTATGGCTTTATGACACGCTTAAAACTGGTGCTTGGTGGCTTTTCTAGCATCCTGTGGCTCAGTTGGTAGAGCATTGCGCTAACAACGCAAAGGTTGTGGGTTCAAATCCCAGAAAAAGCGATATTCATTCAAAAATGTAAGTCGCTTTGGATAAAAGCTTCTGCCAAATGCATATATGTAAATGTAATGTAATGTTTTCTGGTGAATTCATATTTAGATTATAACAGTTTGATTTTTGACGCCAACTACTGCTCAAGAGACTGCTGGGGAGACAGACAGCTCTGCTAGCGGGATCATCAGCATTGCATGCTTAGTGATTATTGAAAATAATGACAGAAACAACTAATACTGTTTTTGTCCCTTGTTTTCATTCAATGACTCAGTCGGAATTGTTGTAGCTGTGATACAAAGCATGTTTATCATCAACCCAAAAAAAAACAAAAAACCCCACGGTTCACAAGCGCCTATTGAACCAAGTACGGCATACCGTTCGGAATAAAACCAAGTATTGTGGCATCCGTAGTCGAACCAACCAACCGACCAACCAATGGAAGCTAGTGGTCTACAGCAAGATAAAGGCAGTGGAGGTTTTTCAGGTGGGTGTGGTCAAAGCTAGTTTGAGCTGCTGGACTTTAAACAGTTTTGTACCTTCATGTAGTTCTTGAGGACCTTAGCATCCGGCTGCTGAATCACTTGACACAGCTCCTAAAGAAAGAAAAGAGTTTCATAAGCATTGCTTTTTTTTAGACATGTATAAAGCAGAATTACTGTAATGGAATAGTTAAGTAAAAGAGCCGTACTAGTTTTTACTTTTCCTTGTCCAAATGAAAAGCTATGTTAAAAGAGACCTGGAAACATTAAAACCTCATTAAAGTTTTTAAAGTCAATCTACAACCAACTTTTTAAAGATTTAAATCAGGAATGTTATTAGTCAAGAATCACAAAAAATATATATATAATTTCCTTTCTAAAATGATTTATGCGAAAGTCATTACATTTAACTGGAGATAAAGTTCTTTCGAGTTAACCCGAGAGTGAAGTCTCCATGTAAAAAATTCGTAATTTAAAGGATTTACAATAATCCATTTGACTATGTGAACATACCTTAGAAAAGCAAAACAACCTTTTATTACTTTGGAACTCATATATCTCAGACCCTTAATATCTATGAATTTCAGGAGAACTGGGTTCATTTCTTCCAAATAAATGACAAAATGATATATATTTTAAGCTTTCAGTTTCAAGTAAACATATATTCTTTTGTTTTTACATGACCAGAACTAAAAAAAGCAATTACCGCTATTTAAGTCAAATTGAATATTTATATTTGTCTTGATTCCATAAATCTTCTTTTTCATAAAAGTAATACAAGGCTGTTGTGAAAAACACTCACAAACAAAACTCACGGCCTGTTCGGTTCGGGACACTTGCGTACCGTTTCGGTATTCGGTATTTTTATTAAATGATATAAATGTATTATTAGCGCGATTTTAAGCGCAGCGGAAAAATGTTCCTAGGCGAGTTTTCGCACGGACGCTATTGACTGACGAGCACGAGCGCGAGTAGGAAAAGGGAATCATATCAAAAGCGAAAGAGAAGCCAGAGCTTGAAGACCCTCCCACCTCACTATGGTCTCGTGTTTGAGAACACTTTGGCTTCTCTGTTAAAATACATAACGGGGATAGACGAGTGGATAAATTTAAAGTTGTATACCGACATTGTTCCACGGAGATCGGGCAGGCAACACATCTAACATTTTCTACTGCTGGAGATATTGTCACTGCAACCAGATCTGTGCTCTCTTCAGAAAATGTGGATAGGTAATCTATCCTATCTATCCTAACTAGTTGCAGTATTTCATTTTTTATTTAAAAAAATGTGCTTTTCTTTATAAAGAGTGCAATTTATTTAAAATATCACCCAAAAGTGTCACTTTTATTTATTTTATGCAAGAATTCTATTGTGTATTGGCAGCTTTTCAAAATAAAGATTTTGTAAGTTCTTATTGTTTTGTACGGAAAATTAACCGAACCGAGCTCTCCAAGACACTGTACCGAACCGAATACGATTTTAGCATACCGTTACACCCCTAGTCAGGACGTTGATTAAATTCATGTCATACCTCCAGTTAGGAGATGGAGAGGAAGGTGCCTTAGATTGGCTTAACCTCTTAAGCCCTGAGGCCTATTTTCCGAAAATCCTATACTTTTACTTTTTAAGGCATTTCTCAGCTTTTACAAGGCCTAAACTGCAAATCTTGGTATCAAAATGAAGATAGGTTCTTGGGGAGTGGTGTGGATGAGTTAATTTGACAGTCAAGAACACTGGGTAAGAGTAATTGATGTTGGAATGGCCAAAAAATGAACTCTGCCTAAAAAAAAAAACACGTTTCCTCCAATATCTCCTTATTTTACTTGTAACGAAGCAAATAAACACAATCAATTGTAACCACTACATGTCAAGGACATCTGTAGCAAGTTTGGTGTTCATACTACAAGAAACTAATATTCTGTAAAGGTTTTGATTGAACAAAGTTCAGGCGTAATCCATGTTGGCACAGTTTGGCACAATTTGGCACAATAATTGAAATATGGAAAAAATCTTGTCCAAAGCTTCAGCTTCGTTCATAGTCTTCTTTTCTTGCTTATGGGACATGATTTCAGCAAAAAAAAAACTCCTAAAGAAACGCTGTAAAAGGGGGGTAGAAGCTCATTTACGCCATCTTGCTGCGCTTTTGGGAACCTTTCATTCACAAACGCTTTCGACGTCGAGCTTCTGCGTGTCCCTACTTCCCGACCATCTGTCCAATCCGGGAGCTCTATATATCGCTGGAAAGCTCTGATTCTGAGGAAGCTAATAAGCTCAACCATTTTGAGACGGACAGCATCGCCGAAGAATCACACGACGCGCAGCGTGGAGAGACCACCTCTTACGCACGGGGAGTCATTCCATATTTGGTGACGTCATGAGGCCACGGAGCAACACAAAAAAATACAAAATGGAGTTTTCGCGAAGCTATCGACCGGACATAACAACAAACGGACTTTTATCGCTATGGAAATAACTTTTTGTTGAAAAAACGGCAAAGGTAAGACAAGATTTACATGCTTGCTTGGTTTTCGCTGGCGTTTTTTCGGGGAACTTTCGCTCCCTGCTCTGAAATACTTCATGCAATGTTAATGAGTTGCATATCGCTGGATTCAACTGGTTGTTAGCTTTCATTTAATGTAATGGTTTGGGTGTTTCCGTTTATATTGTGGATACATATCGCACATAAACAAAAACGTGGTCATGAATTATACTCCGGACATGTTGTTGTTTATTTGCATGGCGTTCGAGCTGTGGTTAACGGATATGAAATTGAATTAGATACGTTTTTAGAGGAGTTTCCGCTGAACACAACAGTATTTAATATGTGTGGGTTATTCTCAGGGTTAGTGAGCTATGAGTGAAAATGTAACGCACAAGGGGGCAAGTCCCCGGTACCGGGGACTCTCGGGCTTAAGAGGTTAAATAGTAATGAAAGCTTGACGTTTTAAACGGTAACACTGGTAGCAAGCCCTGATTGAGTCTAAAAAAATTAGTTTGAATACAATTTTAAATATTAAAATCTGGGTTTGATTGCCTTTGAGGTGCTGGAACAGACATTTTTTTTATTATTTTACTTTATTTTTATTTTACCACTTTTGTGCTAATGAAAACACATTTTTACTCAAATTTATCAAAATGGAGTTATGGCGTTTTGGAAAAAACTTAATTTCCATCTCGTTTCACATTTTGGAAAATTTTTTGGGAGTTTTAATGGTGAAATTTTATTTTGAAATGTTCATGTCTTGAAACAAAAAGAGAAGCAAACCTGTGTGATCTCTGGAGACACGTGCAATGACGGTAGATACTCCTGCAGAAACTGAATGCACTCCGGACCCTGAGAACACACCACAGCACATCGAAACAGCATTAATATCCATGTTCTTGACATTAGTTCTCCGTTAACGACCGTATTTTTCGCCGTATAAAACACACTTTTTCTATTAAAAAAATGCAGCTATTTATTGTAAAGATTTAGCAGTCTCAACGCATTTCCTACACACGAGTTATCCGCATTGGAAAAGAACCTCGAGCCTCTCAAAGTAAGACAAGCGCTGGAAGAAGGGCGGGACTGAAGTTTGACGTGTCCCTTAAACGTTTCTCAAATTACATTTCTCTAAATGACCACTAGATGGTAGTATTATATAGGAAAATTCACATCACACTCCGGAGCCATCGGTGCGCGCTGACATCGCCCATCTCTGCTCGGATTGTAAGGAGCCGGTATGAAACATTACAGCCTTTTTTGTTACTTTTACTGTTTACTGACTGTTCATGTTACATGTTTGGTATATAATTTTTCTTAAGCTGCTGTTAACTTTTACACAGTTGATATTAAATATTTTACTACAGTATTTGGTTCAGAATCTTTTTTTTCTAAATCTTCCTCATTTAAAATTGGGTGCGTCTTATATGGCAAAAAATACGGTACTCAATCTTCACTTACTCTTTTGAGATGAATCATCTGCAGAGTCAGCGAACACTCTGATAGCGTCTGAAACACAAGAGATGTCATTAAAGTCCCTCTGAATAGTTTCATGCAGGTAGTGTGTGAAAGACTGTAGGCCTCACCAGCACCGTCTGGGCATCTGAAAGGTCAAAGGTCGGCTTAAGAGGAGCCATGAAGCAGGCAGGAACAATGTGCTTATAGATGAAATCCGGAAATCCCACCAAACCGTCTTTACCACCTGGAGAAAAGATGCATTTAGCTCCGTTTTAGATCAAGCATTTTAAAATTTTCTACATTCGTTTTTTGCTGCTAGACATGAACAAAACTGGCAAAACTGTGTATAAAATACAACTTAAATATATGTTGTTGCCACTACTTTTTGAACGTTCATCTTTGAAGACGTGTATTGATGTGTGACTGCAGTTTTGATTGGATTCCAATAATTTATTACTCATTCTGTAATGAATTAATCATAGCAGTAAGAGATCAACAGAAAAGAAAAATTGAAGAGAGCATTTCTGACCCCAGAGCTCCACCAGTCTAGACAGAATGATGAAGCAGGTTTTCTGAGCAATGGGGTCAG